GCAGGGAGCCGAGGAAGTGGTCGTAGGCTTCACACGTCACGTCCAAGTGTCTCAGCGTGAAGTTCAGCCTGCAAAGCACAGGGGGCTTGCTCCCCTCACCACTCCCTTTCTGCTGGCTCCTGGCCCCTCCCCGGCAGGGCGTGGCACTGGGGGCTCTCTCCTGGAGCTGGAGAGGGGCGGCACGCCCATTTCACAGAAGTGGACGCTGAGGTTTGGAAAGGTGTCCCAGGCTCAGAATTACACCAGAAATGGTCCCCTGCCTCTGAGGAGCTACAGATGGAGGGAGAACCCAAGGGTGGCGTCTCCAGGTGCCTCTGCTCCCACCGGCACCCACCCAGCAGGGAACCTGGTGCCTGGTAGCTGCCCAGGCAGCAGGTGAGGGGCAGAGGCAGGTGCAGAGGGCATAGAGGGCACAGAGGACAGAGTGAGGGTGCCTTTACAACCATCTTTCTCTTGCCCTCACCCTCCAGCAGGCGGATCTGTGGCTACTGAACTTGTGATGCCCATTTTGTGTTTTTCTTCTTCAAAACTGTTCATCACAAAAACTCCAACCACACAAAAGGGGTGAGAGCCATGTAAGGAACTACCAGAAAGCCACTGCCCAGCTTCAACTCATGGCCACAGCCACATCATCCCCACTCCCCCCCACCCCGCCGGCCAGGTCACTAAAAAGTGCACCCAGACAGCTCTGCCGACAGAGCAGATGGCGTGAAGAGACAGACTAAAACTGCAGCACCATTATCACACCCAACAAAAGGAACGCAACGCTTTCCTATAAATCTCCAGTCAGGCGCCAACTGCCGTGGACCGTCCCAATACTTTTCCTCTGTGGCTTACGGACGCGAGGCCCAGACCTCACTCAGAGGTGATAGGTGCCTTGACAGAAGGCCTCATTCCACGTGACCAGTATACACAACCTGGCAATGAACATGCAAGTAGGTGCAGCTTTGTCCACACCGCGATGGCTTCTACAGGGTGAACTTCCAGATGGGGAGTTTCTGGGTCAAGAAGGATGCTCAATTGTATGGTCTGTGCTACCTGTTCCCAACTGTCTCTCAAACAGGTTGGAACAACTGTGAGTCATGGGAGAAAAATGTGTGTAAAGTGTCCAGCATTCTGGCTATCACTAGGCAGGCATTTGATCAAAGGGAGTTAGACACGTTAGGAGACTGCTGTCGAAACATCCTAGAGCGGGTGCTGCCGTGTGTTGAGTCCCTGTCTGGACAGAGCAGGAGGCTGAGGGGTCGAGGAGAGAAAGTTGCAGAAAGAGAAGAGGTGCAGTGTGTGCTAGTCAAAGTGGTTGGTTCGTCTGCATTTGATTTCTAGTCTCCTCCCATGCTGGCTACGGCTCAGACCAGCTCCCTGACGTCTCAGCCTGCCTCCCTTCATCAGGAAAATGGGGACCAGGGTGGCTGCTCACAGGGTTAGTGTGCACAGATGGTGGGACAGAGCCAAGCACCAACAGGCCTTGAGGGATTGTAGGTAACCGCAGTGACCCTGGTGGGGGAGCGGGAGGATGGGGGAAGCCTGGCTGATGTGTTGCCCGGTGAGGCCCTGGCAGAGCGGAGCTTACCTCTTCTCCACCGCCAGGATGACGGTGCAGGGGTTCTTCAGTCTGTGAGCGAGCCGGGTGAGGGTTCTGAAGAGGGCATCGGTTAGGTCGTCGTCGTAAAACACTGCGGACAGCAGAGGCATTGGTAAGCAGCGGTGTTTCCCCAGGGCCCTGGGAAACCCTGGCGTCACAGAACAGTGACAGCCCGCAGATGGGAAACCGCAGGGAGAGGGGACGAAGTGTTCTGGAAAGATGCTCCAGGATCTACGGGCAATAACAACACTTGCTGTGGCCAGGGGTGTGTCACCTTCCGCCGCAAGCAGCACAGTGGTGTGGCTGTACAGGTGGGAGATCTCTTCTTCTGACCAGCTGAAGGGGACCTCGGGGTCTACGGAGAGAGAGGGCGGTTTGTGCCCACCGCTGTCTCCACAGCCACAACTCCCACCGAGACAGGTTGAGAGCAG